ATCTGGCTTGGCTCAAGTCCGCCCAGAGGCTGCAAAGGCAAGAATCAATTTTGATATCGGAAGGTGGTGGTGTGCAAGCGATGGCGGGCTTCTCTTCCACTTCTTCCCTCCGTCGTCCCCTTTCCTCCTCGCATGGCATGGCGCTTGTGGAGCAGGGCAGGCTTTTTTTCAGCGTGGAAGGTGCTCCATTGGCTGCTCCAGGGGCCTAGGTGCAGTGGGTCAAAGAAACTGGATCCGGTGCTTTGGTGGCGGATCTGTCATTCCCCCTATGTGTTGGGGGGTGGCATGAAGGGCGATGCAGGCGGTGGAGTGGAGAGGGGCCAGCTGTGGAGTGACTCGAATCCACCCATGTCACACCTTGAGGATGATGATGGGCTTTTGTGTTAGTCTCACGCAAGATGGCGCCATAGCGAACGGGACCAAGAAGAGGGTCTTCCACGCCAAGCAACGGTGCGGCTATCCCACGATCTCGATTTTTCCCTTACATTCTCGAACGTGATTCCAGGGGAGAAATTGTCTGAGGATTATTTGACACTATGGTAATAAAATGTGCCTTTCTTTTCATAGGTCAATAGGTTTATATATTTTGAGTTGTGATGTTCATGTATCGAGTACACAACCGTGCTAAAATGTTCCAAGATCATTCTAGTTGGTAGGAAACTTAATGGAAATTCATTATATCTGCCCTGCGAGCTGAATTTTTAGGGCTTCCAAACCACCTAGAAATTGGTTACAGATTCTAGATTACTGTTGGTGATATTGGAACTAGAACTCTAATCTGGCTTGTAGCTCCTCAAGTCATTTGAAGAAACAGTAGTTTAGCAAAGGCTAGATTTTTGTTTGTTGAATCAATTTTGATATCGGAAGATTTGTGCAATTAAAATGTCCAGATTTGTGCAATTTTGATATCACTGCAAGCAATATTGAGTTCAAAGGACTTTTGCAGTACTTTCTCCCATGGTAATTAAATGAAATGGAGTTGCCATTAAATGAAATGGAGTTGCCATTTCATAATCACAACTTCTCCCATGGTAGCACCACTTAGCACTTTTGCAGTACTTTCCATAATGAAACAGAGCATCTGTCTGCATGACTATTGCTACGTTTTGATGGTTCTTGTGAGTTCATTTCATAGCAGGAAAATGCAGTACCAAGCTTTTTTTCAGCGTGGAAGGGTGCTCTTTTTATCAGCATTGTTTCTGAAAGTACTGTCCAGACATGGCCTAAGTAGCATACAATTGTTTCCCTTGTACTGCAGTGGGTCAAAGAAACTGGTAGACATGAAAAGCTATGTGAAAAGCTTCTTAAGCAAAAGAAATGACATAATCTTCCAACATTTATACAACCAAAGGTATTCAATTTTCATCTCAGCTTTCAGTTCAAGTGGAATGTCTATGATAACCATGATCTCAACTTTTGAAGCCCTTGAGAGGTTATATGTCAATGGTAACCATGATCTTTTCATTGTCACAGAGAGAAATTTCCAAATAGGTACAGGAAAGTACAAATGCCTGACATGTTATGAACTCCTAGACTTTAGGAAAATGATAGCAGCTGAACCCTCGGCGAAATTAGTGCAGCAAGAATAAAACCACTGCTACTGCATCATTTTTGTGCTCTGAATGTTCTCTCTGCAATTATTCAAATTATTCAAATTGTATTTATATCTATATCTGCATCACTTTTGTGCTCTGAATGTTCTCTCTGCAACTAAACTAGCGTAGTTAACTTTGATCTTGAAGTGGTTACGGCGGTATTAATTGATCTGAGTTTTATCAAGGAATGTTTTTTTTCTCTCGATGTCATTAGGTGACCTCCAGTGATCTTTTGCGCTTTTAGATGACACCCCTTAACTATGTGGTTACTTGGTTGGATTATTGTCTAAAAATTATCCGTGTCTGTTAAATCATTTTCCATGATGATTACAATGAAATGTCAGCCTTGACAGTGTATAAGTAAATTTATTTGTTGATTCAGTGTCTATTTTTCAATTTTCTCGAAGGTGACCAACTGAGCTTCTTGGAATTGTTAAGGGGATATGTGGTGAGAATTATCATATTTGTAACCATGTTTCAAAATAGGCACTTTCATCTTAATTACGTATATAATCATAGATATGTATTTGTATTGCAACACGTTTGTACTGTGTTTGAGGCAACACCAGAATTGTAGATCAGATGTGCAAATTTTGGTAAATTGAATTGGTGTCATCAGCTTCTTTTGAAGTATTAGCTTAAAATTGTTGTTTATTGATGTGGCTTCACCGTGTCCTGCAATACTATGTGAGGACTTTGTTCAGAAATTTATTATGTTTGTCAATTCTCTAGAAGGTATATGTGAGGACTTTGTTCAGAGATTTATTATGTTTGTCGATTCTCTTGAAGGCATGAGCTTGGGCGCCAGCCGACCAACACCAAGTTGTCAAGCAACAAGACAGTGAGGAGGGTTCGTGTTCGTGGAGGTAATGTGAAGTGGAGGGCTCTTCGCCTGGATACTGGTAACTACTCATGGGGAAGTGAAGCAGTGGTACCTCACTCGCTATGGAGTTGACATCGGTAGGAAGAAAAAGGCTCCTGCTACAAAGAAGGAATCTGCTGAGGTATTATTTCTTGCAACACAGTATCTCACTATTTACTATTAAATGTTTTTAATAAGGGATTGGCTTCATAGTTCATACATCATGTTTTGTAGCTAGCAAATATCAGCTCTTTCTGTTATCTCTTTTAAAGACAACTGACTCACCTCATTCTTGTATGTTTATATTGTCTACTCCTGTGCCTTGCAGATTCTTAGAGAACTCTTCTTTTCTTATCCACGTTTCACATTTGAATTGCATGTTTTTGCACTATGAGTTTTAGATTTCTGTATGGAAAATGTTAAATTTGATTGTTTCTATTAATATATTTTGCTTGAAGTATTTCCATAAAGCAGAGATCTATAGTTAATTAGTTTTCTATCTTTAGTGTCTGTTATGTTTCCTCTTGTGGATCACTTATTGTTTGAGATTCATTCATCCAGGGATAAGAGGGTGAGGCAACAACTGAGGAAACAAAGAAGAGCAACCATGTCAAGAGGAAGCTTGAGGCGTCGAAGCGGCGTGAGCTTGACGCTCACATTGAAGAGCAATTTGGCGGTGGAAGCTTCTTTGGCGTGCATTTCTTCCATACTGGACAAAGGTGTGGCCGAGTGGTGGGTAAGAAATAATGGACTTCCACCAGACTTTCTTTGTTTTTGTTAGAGCAACTTATCTGTTTGTGTACCATTTAACTTTTGTAGCTTAAAGCTTAATGTTTGTTTATACTCTTTATGTTACAATCTTTGTGAGTCTAGACATTTTAGATATATTGGGAGAGGTGTCATAAATTTATCCTTCTAGGCTTCAAGTAGAATGGAAGTTGTCCCTTATTTTCACTTATATCTTATATTATTGCTCCTTATAATACACTTTTCTTTTTTTATAACTTGGTACATCCTTGAGGGTAGAGCTTGAGTTCTACGTGAAGAAGCAGCCTAAAGAAAGGCAAAGGCGCTGCAGACTTAGAGCATTCTCATGGATGGTCCTCCATGAAATGTGTGGCCTATTAAATATTACTACGGCTTTTTTTTGTTAGTCGTCTCAAGTTCAGAACGCCTATGTCATGTTTTGCAGACTTGATGAGAACACTGTTTTCCAAAAATAAATCAACTCTATTTAGCTCCTAAGAATTGAGATTTTCCTTCTATATGAATAACAGTGGATTTGTCAAATTATTCAAATTGTATTTATATCTATATCTGCAGTACAGTTTTGCTGATAGTTTAGTTGTTGGACAGGGCATGACTCACAAAATACCTTGAAAATGGTTTCACCAACACACAAACTGTCGGGAAATGTTCAAACTGTTGGCAAAGGCTTAACTGTCGGCAAAGGTTTCAACTGTCGGCGTAGGTCCATCATTTGGCAACACAAAAAGTGTCGTGTCGATTATTCCTTTAATCGTCGGCGAAAGTTCATCCATCTAATGTCTAAAAGCGTGGACGGCTTCTATCATAGCGATTGTTTCTAAACTGTCGGCAAAACCTTTCGCGAGAGGTTATCTGTCGGAAAAGGTACCCTTTGTCCACTATAAAAAGTGTCGGCAAAGGTATGTTGTGTTATAGTGATCTACTGTTTTGTCCTTTACCTTACTTTTGCTATCTTTATTATTGCTTCACGTTCTTTGTTGTTGACAATGTTTGTTGCTTCAATGATGGCGAAGCTCTAGAGTGGTCAGGCCGGCTAGGGCAGCCCATAGTTGCCGCACGCCCTGAAGGGCTCCCTCTCAAATGTTTGGGGTTTTAGGTTTCATGAAACACCTCGCCGGTGTGTCTTACGTATCGCGCTCCAAGCAAGACTCCTCCAGCAACGTGTCGTGCGAATCGCACTCGACGGCGGGGGCACTCGGTGACGTGTTCGTGTGCGAACAATGTGCCTTCTTGAAAAATTGATCCTTTCAGAGGTCAATTTCATTCGGAAGTCTTCCTACCTTGATCCCAAAGCCTTAGCAGGGAGTGAATGAGCGAGGATCTTCATAGCGAGGCCTTACCCAAACAGGCGGAGTCATATATAATCTCTAAAGATAGAGACAAAATCATAAAGATAGGATATGTTTAAACCTAGTAGAACTTGTATGGTACTACAAATTCTCATCCTCGTGACCTCGTATGTGTATTTGTATATACTCGAGAGGGTCCGCATCAATGTAATCAACGCCGAATTATTAGATTCGACCATATTCAATAATCTTTACACACACCTCTGTGTTATTGTATGCTGGCAGCCTAGCGGCCACTTCTATTTATTGGTGATATTATTAGCTCCTCCTACATTCTGTACATTCCTTATACACAACATCTTTGCATCCTTATTCCCCATGAGAAGTACTGTAGCAGCTATATTTCAACTATCCTTACAGGACTAGGAGCGGTTGTGTGGTAAATGTTGCATGCTGGTAGGATATAAATATATATTCAACGACAATTCAGAATGCGAAGCAATTCCATTTCCGAGCTTTCTTAGCTGGTGCTGCCTTGCCCCTTAGGATCTGGAGAAACCTCCATTCGGCGTCGCATGTGATCACTGGCCGCTGCTTCCTCTCCAGGCTGCAGCACCTCAGCGCCAGCTTGAGAAGTCGCTCGGAGTCCACCTCCGGCCAGGGTCCGGCAGACATGTCCAGCAAGCTGTGCAGCTTCACCGCCCCTCGCACTTTCTCGGCGACGTTGAGGCCATCCAGCCCCGTGAGAAGTTGCAGGATCACCACACCGAACGCGTACACGTCCGACTCCGTGGTGAGCTCGCCTGTCGTGAAGAACACAGGGTCCATGTACCCCATAGTGCCCATCGGGTTCGTGCGCCGGATGATGGTCTCCTCCTCAAGCGGCTTCACGTGCACCATCCGCGCCGTCCCGAAATCTCCCAGCCGGCTGGCGTCGCCGGCGTCGAGGAGGACGTTGGTCAGCTTCAGGTCGGCGTGGATGATGGCGTTGGGGCGGTGAGAGTGGAGATACGCCAGCGCGGACCGCAGCTCGACGAGGATCCTCACGCGGTCCTCCCACGGGAGCCCCTTGGAGAGCCTGTCTAGGAGGGTGCCATTGGGGAGGTACTCGTACACGAGGGTGCACGACTCCTGGCAGACGCCAATCAGCCTCACAATGTGTGGATGCTCCAATTTGCTCAGCACTATTACCTGTGCGTGATGGAGTTCCAAACAGCCTTCTGGGTTAGTAAGGTGTACCAAAATGTGAAGAAATAGGGATACCAATTACGAAATGCAGAGTGCTACTAAGTAAAGATCGGATTACACTATACGTGCATTTTACTTTCCCAAGTGTAAGCATAGGTTTTCTTTCTTCTAAATGTTGCGGATGCCTCTGGATGGGTGTGAGCATTTTTTTAGTACATTTAATTCAAATACTAGATAGAATGGTTGTATTTAGGGTATGCTACCTCTTTTTTTATTAAGAAGAAGAAAAGAGTCTGTTACCTCTTGCTGATACTCTGAGAAACCTTGTGTACCATGAGGTCTCAATGACTTGATAGCCACAGGCGTGCCATCTAGGTCTCCTTTGTACACTGGCCCATATCCGCCTTCTCCAATGATATTTTCTGAGTGGAAGTTATTGGTCGCTTTCCTAATTTGTGAAATTGAGAACTGGACAATGTGCTCTGGAATTTGCAGCTCTGGATATCTTGGTTCAGCAAAACACTTCTTTGGTGAAGTGGCAGTTTGCGTTGGCAACAAGCTGTATTCTTCATGATTGTGCACCTCTCCTTGCAGCTCCTTCAATTTCTTTTGGAGTTTGTCAATTTCCTCCTTTTCAAAGGCAACATGAAGTGCTGAGTATCCAAACTGATAAGCAGTAAGGAGTCGCACAACTATTCGTAGATTGTCAAATCAATCTCAAAACTACAAATTTAGGAAGTTGCATAAAGAACACATATGTAACATGTCAAAGTATCATAAAAGCTGCATATATAATCTACCGTGTTTCACAAAACTACAAATTTTATGCCTCAATGGCTCACAAAACTGCGCATTTCAGGCAGATGAGATGTGTGGTTTTGTGATACATTGACCTACTAATTGTGTAAATTTGTCAAACATTACATATAAAATTTTAAGTTTTTGTGATACATTACGCATCAAATCTGTTTTGCGATAGAATTCCTTAAATTTTGTTTTTAAAGTACAAGAGGGCATACTACATTTGGAGGTACGCGACATACCTCTTAATTAAATCTGTTTTTCCCATTCTAACTTTAGTTTTGCCAAATTTCGTTACTCATGTTTTTTATGGTCAGTAACAAGGAGTGCTTTTTTTACTGAAATTGGAAAGGAGTCCCTTAATATTCTTTTATTAAAAAAAGAATAAAATAAGCTATTTACAAAAAAGGAGTAAAAGAATATACAACTCAAATATTTAGACTTCGACCAAAGGGTTATGTCTGCATTCAACAGCAACTATGAGATTCCAATAGTTCAATGTTATCATGGGGATTACATTTTATTTTCTGTATGTGACTATTTTCCCAAACCTGCCTGATTGATGTTTTCAAATTACCTGCATTATTATCCTTTTAGTTCTGAATGAATGATTACTATCATAAGCTTAATAAACCAAAAATATTGCTAACTTTCTGTGTCCACAGTTAACTAAGGCCTATGGTAATTCTTAAAAAAAACTAAGGCCGGCTATGTTTTAGGAGTACAACCTGAGGAAAAGTATGTGTCATGTAGCTTTTACCATAATCTTTGCAGCCTTTTCACCCTTAGAAAAGTGCTCCATCTGGCCTAATTTTTTACTATTTAACATTTTTTGAATAAAATTTACATTTGACCTCCTAAGAGACTTAAACTCATCTTTGGACCGTGGAGGTCGGCGTCATGAGTCCTGGCGTCGAGGTAACACGTCTCGGCGCCACAGATCTTGACGCCGAGGTACTTGACCGTGCATAGAAAAAAAATCCTACATTGCTGATACCTCGGTGCTAGAACACATGACGCCAAGCTCGACGCCACATATCTTGACACCGAGCTCGAGCCACTTGCATATGGCGCACGCCGAGGCGGACAAGGCTGGCGCCTGCTGCTTTTGCTGCTGCTGCTGCGCTGAAGAAAATTTATTTAAAAAGCCGGCTTGGGTGGATGAACGACTGGACGAGACAGATGAACAGCGATGCAGCGACGATGAACAGCGCCGAGCTTTTTGACACATGAGAACAAGGCTGCAGACGGGTATAGATAGCATGCCATCGGTGAGAAAGTGTCAGTACTGATAGAAATAAAAAAAGAAAATATTTTTTTCTGTGTGGATAATATTACAGTGTATTTAAAATGCACAGTAAATCAGTAAAAAATTAAACATAACAAAAACAAATTTGGTAAGCGCATAACTCAACTTCTTAAAAAATTATAAAGCTACTGTAGTAGTAGTTGGCAGTTGAGCTTTGAAGACGCGCAAGTGCGGATGGTTGGAAAGACAATGAATATTTTATTAGAGTTTTCATTATTGTTCACTGTATCACGCAGTGCCATCCTACAGCCTTGAACAGCGATGCAGCCTTATCTCATTCTCCGTTATTAGGATGGTGACTTTCGCCGCGTTTAGTTCTACAAAGTTAGAATTTGGGTTTATTGTAGCACGTTTGTTTTTATTTGGTAATTAGTATTTAAACATGGACTAATTAGGCTTAAAACGTTCGTCTCGTAATTTTCTACTAAACTGTGCAATTAGTTTTTTTTTCGTCTACATTTAATGCTCCATGCACAGGCCGTAAATATTCGATGTGACAGGTACTATAGCACTTTTTGAGATTTTAGGGTGAAACTGAACACGCGCTTTATTTTGTTGAGAATAGTTGCATGGGCATTTAAAGCCCCTTTGCATGCCTCATTCAAAACGGTTTTACCGGTGAAGCTAGAAAATTGGTTTTTTCTGGCTTCTAGTTTATTTTAATTCCGGTTTACAAAATAGCTTCACGCTACAGTGTCTCGATTTATGTAAAATAGATGAAGTTGAAGCCGACATAAGCCGTGCCAAAGAGGCCCTAATCATATTTCTACTTGTTTTTTTCATTGAATTAAAAATATTTTGACTCATGTGAGGCCGTGGGAACGCATGGATATAGACCTATCTCTGAGACTAAGAAGACTTAACGTTACTAATATATTGCTCGTGCTAACACTCGTGGAGCACACAGGCACCCAGCAGAGCGCTCCACACCGACGTGCTCGGCTCGAATGGGTCTTGGATGAGGCGGTAGGACTACTGTACTTAGCAAATGCAGCCGCATTCATTTCACAGTCAGCCGCAGCAGCGTCCGGCCGGCCGGCGTAGGAACTTTACCGCAGTACGATGTTAAAGAAACAAAGGTACTGTGTAAAATTCATGATCTTTGGACAAATAAACAATTAAAATAAATAAAACAGCACATAACACTTTTCTATATATCAGGCACAAAAAAAATGAAGTTTTGTATTTTTCATATCTAGGTCTAAACATTACAAGCCTTACCAAATTTGTTTTGTTATGTTTAATTTTTTACTGATTTACTGTGCATTTTTAAATACACTGTAATATTATCCACACAGAAAAAGCATTTGTTTTTTTTATTTCTCTAAGTACTGACACCTTCTCACCGATGGCATGCTATACCCCGTCTACAACCTTGTTCTCATCTGTCAAAAAGCTCGGCGCTATTCATCGTCGCTGCATCGCTGTTCATCTGTCTCGTCCAGTCGTCCATCCACCCAAGCCGGCTTTTTAAATAAATTTTCTTCAGCGCAGTGAGCAGCAGCAGCAAAAGCAGCAGCGTCAACCTTGTCCGCCTCGGCGCGCGCCGTGCGCCAGTGGCCCGAGCTCGGCGTCAAGATCTGTGGCGCCGAGCTCGGCGCCATGTGTTCTGACGCCGAGGTATTAGCCACGTAGGATTTCTTTCTGCACGGTCAAACATCTCGGCGTCAAGATCTGTGGCGCCGAGACGTGTTACCTCGGTGCCAGGACTAATGACGCCGACTCCTATGGTCAAAGATGAGTTTAAGTGTCTCAGGGTGCTAAATGTAAATTTTATTCAAAAAAAGGCTTAAATAGTAAAAAAAATTAGGTCCACGTGGCAAGTGCTGGATTTCTCGGTGATTTTTTCAGTTGTTGTGTCGTATTCCTGCACATCATGTATGAAGTAAGAAATCAAATATATCGTACCTACACAAAGTGCAGAGTTCAGAAAAAAAATAACAAGTGGAGTTTGTCTATTTCCTCCTGTATGAAGGCAATATTTTTTTAATAATGGAACTTATTTGGGCAATTTACATCCTCTGACTCATGCAGCCAATTGTTCAATAACTACAGAGTATTAATATGGAGCTCATAGTACCTACTCTGTATTTCTGAGCTCGTTCATGTATAGACGCCAAAATATCTGATCTGCTTCCATATCCAATATTTCCATTGTTCTCCATATGATCATTGCTGTGCATTTTACAATCATTGTGTAGATCGAGTCAATTCCAGATTTAATCCAGATGTTACTGAAACAATGTCATCCACAGTCATTGACTTTGTAGAATATCTTGATCATACCTAGTGGGGATGTGTTTCCCACTGAGGACCAGCCAAACTTGACAGCATCGTCTAAGCACCTCTTGTGTTGACATGTTCCTGCATATCTTAGTTTAATTTTTTAATACTACGATAGGGATATTTGTTTAGTTTTACCTGTGTACAAGCATTACATAGAGGAGTACATGTCAAGATGCTATTGTGAATGAGTATATCAAGTTCTAACCTTGAACCGGTGACAATTCTCTTAATTTTGAGCATCTTTACCAGGCTCACAACACCAGCAACAATGTCACGGTGTGTAAGGTAATATGCACTAACCTGCAGGAACACATACCTGTTTAAAAAATATGTTTCGTGCCAAATTTTTACATTGTTATGCTTAGGTTTCAGGAGCCTATGGTAATATTAATACTAGTTCAGTTTGTAAAGCCTGTAGTTGAGAGCTTCCCACTTAGGCTCGAACTTGGGTGCTCTCAAATTACCTCCGTGTGCACCCTCTTTTTAAGACAAAGCCAAGGTTATCAGCTACAGAGTTTTATAACTTTTCGAGATCTACAACTTTCGTTTTGGTAGTTTTTCCATCTGAGGTTGTTTACAAAATTTGAATTTTAAATTTAAGAAATTCATATGTAGTTTTTCATGATAAGATGATTTCAAATTAGAAAGTTGTCAACAACAAAGTTTCATAATTTTTTGAGATCTACAACTTTTGTTTTTGCTGTTTGTCCATTCAAGGTCGTTTAAAAAATTCAAATTTTAAATTTTTAAAAACTCAAACGTAGTTTTCCTTGAGGAGATGATTTCAAATCAAAAAGTTATCAACTACAAAGTTTCATAATTTTTTGGGATCTACAACCTTCATTTTAGTAGTTTCTCTATATGAGGTCGTTCACAAAATTTGAATTTCAAATTTTACAAATTCAAACGTAGTTTTCCTTGACAAGATGATTTCAAATTAAAAAGTTGTCAACTACAGAGTTTCATAACTTTCCGAGATCTACAACTTTTATTTTGATTATTTGATCATTTATTCATGCGATAAAGTGGTAGTAAGAGTGTTCACAAATGTTACATATCCCTTATAGTTTATCAAACTATAAAAGAGATATGTAAATTTTGTGACCAATATTACTACCACTTTATTAGATAAAGAAATGACCAAAATAAAAGTTATAGATCTTGATAAGTTCTACAACTTCTATGTTGATGACTTTTTCAGCTGAAATCATTTAGTATTCTAAAATAATGTTTGAAGTTGTCATTTTTTGAAATTCAAAATTCAACTACATAAAAAAACAGTCACATCAAAAAGATGGATAAAATAATAGCTGTATGAACATAATAAATTGATAGAGAATGATTTTAGAAATCTTCAGAAAAAACATCAAATTTGAAGTTACTATGAGGGAGAAATACTAGTTACAAGTTTTAGCCAGAGATTAAAAAGAGAAATCAGAGTTCTTCAATAATTTCAAAATTTAATTTCAAACAACATTTTAAAGTGGTAAATGATTTGAAATGAAAAAGTTGTCAACTACAAAGTTGCATAACTTTTCGAGATCTACAACTTTTTTTGGGCGTTTCTCCATCCAAGGTCGTTTGAAAAATTCAAATTTTAAATTTTAGTAATCGAACGTAATTTTTGTTAGATAGATAATTTTAAATGAAAAATATTTGGACATCTCAACGATCTCAAATTAAAAAATTTTGAACTACAAAGTTGTAGATCTCGTCGAGTACTGTAACTTTGATATAAATGTTGTCTGCATCGGACATCATGTGAGAAACTTATGAAGTTTTCTTGTAGCATATCACTGTAGGTTTAAGCCACGAACCGACAGTGACAGTATCAGTGTCGGTTCTTGGCTAAAACCGACAGTGATATAAAACCGACAGTGAAGACCTGAATATCCGGTTTTAGCCAAAAACCGGCAGTGATGGGCTATCACTGTCGGTTTCTTAAAATCCGCAGTAATGCAGCCGACAGTGAAAGTCATATATATAGTAGTGGAATGTATATAAGATTTGACACAAAAAGGGGAAGACCTCAATAAGATTGAACGATGTGATGAAGATTACAAAGGAGATAACCTCATTAACATAGGGTAAAGAGTTTTGTCCAATGATGGTAGAAGGTAATATAAGGGGGTTAACAAGCATTCAAGCAAGTGTAATTTGTTCAATTGGTCATGTTTTTATAAAATATGCTTCCTTTGGTTATGTTGTTATCAATCACCAAAAGGAGAGAATTAAATGACAACATAATCATTGGGAGTAACATGGTTGGTAGGAATGTTTTTAAGTGGGTCCCTAGGATGCAATGCATTAGAAACATGTAGTTAGGAAAAACAATCTGAAGCAAGTCAGTAAATTCCTTGAACAAATGCATACCTCGAATAGTTTGTTGATGAAAGAATTGCAAGCACAAGATTATTGGGCAACACAAGAAATGTTGGAGTTCAATATAATGGATAATTTGATGGAGAATAAAATAAAAGTGTTGTATTATATAGTATACTCCCTCAGTCCCATTGAAAGTGTCGCTTTTGACTTTTAGACTTCTTGTTTGACTGTTCGTCTTATTCTAATTTTTTAATAAATAATAAAATAAATAAATCATTATTAAAGTTTCTCTAATGATAAAATAAGTCCCAACAAAATAAATAACATTATACAAAAATTTTGAATAAGACGAACGATCAAATAAGAAGTCTAAAAGTAAAAAACGACACTTTCAATGGGATGGAGGGAGTAGCATGTAGGACTAGGCTAAGCAAAGATGAGTGTACTAAATGATTTGGTAATGCACAATAGAGTGTATTTCCAGAGAGAGACTGAAGTTGAAGCATTGTGTGAATACATGTATAATATGGTCTACTATTGAAGAATGTGAGCACTTGTGTACTCACTATAGGAGTGAATTAACAGTGCTATATGAAACACCTAATAAATGTGATGTGTATTATTGAATGCAAAAATCAAAGGTCTGTTGAGGAGAAATGAGCACCCAAATAACCAGTGAGAAGAATGGAGCGGATTCCAGCAACTAATTGTTTAAAGATGCACACACTAGATGATCTGGTGTATACAAAATTTACTGCAAACACCATCGAGTGAGTACAAATTTTCAACTGACCACCGTGGAAATAGTTGTTTGATTGTTTGAGATATAAATAACACCCTACTCGATCATTTGATGTGTTTATGATCTTCATTGAAGTCTAGATGAGTGCTACTACACTTGAAAAGACATCCAAGCCACCAAAGTGCTTGACATTATTAGTGCTATATTAAGCCTAGCGAGAGTGTTTGCAGGTTGTGGCTACCCAAATTTCTAGTTCGAGGAGGAACCACACATGTACTCTTGGTGTGCAATTTTGCCCTGAGTCTTGAGGGGCTCGCTAGGAAGCTTATTGACCATCTGGATTAGCCAGTAGTGGCAATAAGGTGTTGTGTGGGGATGCAGTGACCCTTGCCTCTAGTGGCAAGTAGCTCATCCTTCTTGGTAGAACCTTTGTGGCATCATCCAAGGCCTTGACCAAGAGAGAATAGGGTGGTAGTTAGACCACCGATACTATAGGATTAATTTTCATGTCAAGAATTTGCGCCTTCATGTTCATTGCCTTCACTTACTGCATATATGACTTTACTTTTGAGTAGCTAGAAAGGCTTGTTGACAGTATTGGGTATTGTCTTCAAAACTATTTTGTGGTGATTGGTAAAGCACTAGATAAATGTTAAAAGCACATCTAGATATCATGGTCTAGTTTTGACTTTGGGCACCCTAGGATTAGTTTTTAAGTTTCTAATTCGTCGTTCCTTCCCAGGTCGCACTTTCCTATGCCCATGGACCATGCTTTTACAATCTCTATGATTTTTGAAGTTCTTTTTGGGCATTTTTGTTCTTCACGATTGGCTGTGATTTTGATATTATTTCTTGGAGGAAGGGATAGGACAGGTGTGGACATCTCTCTAGGGTGATCCCCTGTCATAAACAAGGTTTTAAATCTCCGGCTATAGCCTCCGCTATCTTCGGCTATAGCTGTTTGAGAAAGATTTAGTTAAGTTTTTCCATATACAAGTTAGTCCTTAGCTGCCGCTATAGCCCGTTATATCCGGCTATAGCCTGTTTTCGGACATAGAAAGCTAAATGGCTTAGCTGACTATTTAAAACCTTGTACCACACAAGCATCTCCATTTTGTGGGTTTCTCAAGTTCTTCATGCGGGTTTTCCTAAATCCTCAAAATGCAAAGAAAGTCTTGATCTTTTTAAGATCTTTTTGTCAAAGATATGACATGTATTAGGGAAGCTATGATTTAAATTCCGCTGGGTTAAAATTCCTAAATCTCCAAAATACACAAACATCTCCCATTCCATTTTTTCTAGGCTGTGGTGATGTGGATACTCTGTATTTGCTGACCAAGAACCTCATCTAAACTGCGTCCAAAGTTTCAGGACTTGCAGGACGTGGAGAGTCTATACTGGATTTAGATGGCCTGGGTTCGATACTGAGCACCTTCACCCTGGTCAAATCCGAAGGTTCTGGGTGCTCTATAGTTCTGGATGTGTCGAGTATTTCAGGTTATCAAGTCACTTTTCACTATGCCAGAAAAGCAGATTAGTGACGCGTCTAAACAATCATTAGTGACGTGGAAAACACGCGTCACTTACATTGCATCTGTGATGTGAAAAGATCAGTAACGCGTGGAAACGCGTCACTAATGATGGTCACCAGTGACGCGTATAGTCACCTTACATTGCGTCTGTCTCCTTTGTGCTGTTTTGGCATAGTGTTTGGTTCAATTATCTCATCTGTTTTGTTCTTTCTTGAGCATTTATTTAATGCTTTCTTATCATCATTTCTATGATAAGTGTGTCTTTTGTGACCATGTGGCTTTAATTTGACGTTCGGTAGGAGAGAGGTTTGTTGGTTAAACTGGGGAATATTTAGGCTCTGACTTGTATTAGGGAAGCCTGTCTTTTGAGAAGAATATTTAGGCTCCCATTCAACCTCCTCTATTATCCATTCTCTCCATTCACATACACTCTGACTTATATATGAATACAAACTAAAGTAAAATATAATTAATGACAAATTAGCATTACCTTTCTTTTACCACATTGACTTTTGTACTTGGAAAACATCTCCATCATAGCTGAAGCTTCTTTGTCTCTATGCCTCTCCTTCTCCTTTTCATCGGCAAACTTGTATAACACTTCGCCACCCACTGTGTTTGTTAGATAAAAAAATATATTTATACAGCTCATGGCAACAAAATAAACTCCATACACTGTGTTAATATTAATGTTCATAGAGCATGGCCAGTTTATTGCTGGTATTATATATGCTTACACCATTTAACTCTTTTAACACCTACTGCGGCTGTTCTCTTTAATTTGCATTCAGAGTTGTATGTCAACTTATTATCTTGAAAGCTATGATGCTTATCAATCATCAAATCATCTTCTAGCAGTGATTATTTTGTGATCCTTTGTACATTGGTAGGAGAATTGTAGGCATATTGCTTCAATTCGACAGAGTAAGTATGAAAGAAATGTAGAATGAATCACAAACGCATGAGTAATATAACTTTAAGAGAGCATGATCGAAGAGAATTGAATGATTTGTCTGAACAAGTATATATATAGCTCTTACTGAAGGGCATCCATTCGGAGGGCCAGTGAACATGCACAAGAACTATAGTGGCCTTTGGAAACTTTGCAGCAGCCCATCGTATGTTAAGCTCCTCCTTTCTGGTGTTCTTTCCCACTGCGATATGAACCTCTTCCTCTTCCATCTCTTCTTGCTCCCTACATTCGCAATCAGTAATCAAAGTTCTGCTACAGCCATCTGAAAGAAAAATTACCTTTAATTCTTTGCTACACCACTTTACATAGACACCGACGACATGGTATCTCCCTTGCCCCTCCTCTACTGCATTGTTCCTTGCAAGAGCCAAATGAAAGCAGCTGCATTGTCGTGACCTTATGGTATAGTAGTATATTATATAGCATCATAAGCGCGTAAAGTCATTATCTGGTATGGGCCCCAAGTATAGATCCAGTGAGAAAAGTCCTGTTTCAATTTTGGAAACATTTTCAGTAGCTTTGCAACTATTTCATCATTATCTATGATTGAATATATACGTGGAAATATTTTTTTTTAACGGGCTCTGTCGATTTTGTACATTTATATAGAAAGACAGTCTAACTATGAAACACAAGTATATTAATTAGTCAAAATGGAAATCGGTTGGAAAGCTTGTGTTTCAGATAGTCCTTGACGATTGTCTTTTGATGCTTAGAAATGAAGTTGTATGATTACAGATTATATACATTTCATCTCGATCTGTGGCCGGCAATGGTCGCTTTCATGTTGCTGAATAAATTGTCCAGGCTTCGTGGCAGCTTTGAATTCCTTTGCACGCGGGCGAAGAACGATTGGACATTTGGACCTTGTTTTCTTCTTCGGAGGTGCCCACCACATATATATACATGCCAACCTGTCAATTTAGGGACACACATCATGACATCCGCTAGTTTTTTATTTAACACTGAGTTGTAGAGCATATACCAGTAGCATCTTTGAGATCCAAGACGTGGAAATTGAGTCTGCAACTTCTGTGTCCATGAAATGAGAGTCGTCAATCATGAAAATGAAACAAAGGGTACCTTGGAGAGGGTCGTCCTTTCTTGGTCATTGTTTTGTTAGTTACTGTCAAGATTAGTTCTTTTTGAGAATTACATAGTACGTCGCCGCAGATGCTCACAATGCACACAAACTCAACCTATGAACGCACGCACGTAAACCCTACCCTTATGATCATCTTCGAAGACTGGGTCAACAAATCCTCGAGATTGATGAAGTCATCACATGTGCTTCACTGTCGACGGGAACGTCACCTACCACTAAAAGCACAACGCTATTAAATCCTAAATTTTTTTTACCCTCACAGAAAGTCAAACCCAGGCCCTGAGGTACTACTAATACTTTTATAATCACTAGGCTGGCAGTTTGGTCAATTGGTATTTGTACATTGACATACTGCACATCAGAAATTACGTGTCATCAGCTCGGTGAAGGACCTTAAAAAACTTGGGGCATTGGACTCTCAATAATGATTATTTTCCTAGAAATCATTACAACTAACTTATTATGCCTATCACGGCTTTAATTAGAAAGAAAAAAAATACAAACTACTGGATCGTGACCATAAAAAAAACAAGCTGCCAACTGTGGCCAGTATTATAAAAACAACCCTGGCCCTAACGGCAACAACAAAAACTACTAAGGTCCAAACTATAGAAACAACCCTGAACAATATGAACAAAAAGGAATAAGCTGCCAAATGGGGGCCAAATTTTAAAAATAACCCTGAATAACATGAACAAAACGAAGCTACCAATTGTGGGCAAAATTATAAAAACAACCCTAAACAACAAGAACAAAAAAATAAAAGCTACCAATTGGGGATCAAATTATATAAACAACCCCGACTGTAGCACCTGGTTCTCAGAACAAAACCAGATTCACATCATATGTGAGCCAAGAAAGTCAAATCACACGTATGGCTACAAATAGAGGTAATATCAATAGACAATGCTTAATATATAACGTACTTAATATAAAGAATACAACCTTAGATAGTAGACAGCAGATAGAAACTATGTTATTCGGGCGAAAGCTCCAAATCCACAAGGACAACTGACTCATTGATCACAAGCCTAACTCTTCCTTTAGACTACCAATCTGGTACCCATCCAGGATTTTTTCAAAGTATTGAAAATAAAGCAAGCGTAAGTACATGTCGTACTTAGCATTATAACATGGGGTTCATAAGGCTCAAAAGGTAGACATGGGTTTAATTGCGGTTAACTTTTAATGAGTCACATTTTTAAGCGATTGAGTAGCTATAAGTTTATCATAAGCCCATATAAACACATGATCAGGTAAACATGAATAATGAATAGCATAAATAATTAACCATTAATGATTATCTTGTCGGTTTCATAAACCTGGGGTCCCCAATGGACCCGCTTCCCTACAAAACTCGGCTCAGCAAGCGGCGCAACGACAGCACACGACTGGGCCAGCCCAGATACACAATAACAGGGCAAGACCACGATCTGGTCCCCGACTAGCACCTCTGACCAGGGCCTCCCCAAACGGGCCACGACCCATTATAGGTAAGAGGGGCCCGTCTAGGCCCGGGAGTTTGAAGGTTGGCCCACCGATGGGTTCAACAACCGCTCCGGGCACCTTTAGAGTGAGGGATGGAAAGGGCCGACCTCTGGGGGTGGGCCCACACTCGTTCGACCTTTGGGTCGGGAGCTCCGCCTTGCCCGACCTCTAGGTTGGAGGCTCCGCCTCGCCCGACCTCTGGGGACGGGCTCCGCACTCGTCCGACCTCTAGGTCGGGGGCTCCGCCTCGCCCAACCTCTGGGGGTGGAACCCGCACTCGTCCGACCTTTGGGTCGGGGGCTCCGCCTCGCCCGACCTCTAGGTCAGGGGCCCCGCACTCATCCAACCTCTGGGTCGGGGACTCTACCTCGCCCGACCTCTGGGGGTGGGCTTCGCCTCGCCTAACCTCTGGGTGATCCCCGACCGGAAGGCCTGGCCGTGGTAGGTCCGCAGTCCGACTCCGACCCCTTTTCTCTGACCGAGGATACGCCGGACCTCTGCTCACTGCTCTTTCCCTACCGACACGGTCGGGGCCAACTGGGAGCAACCGACCGGGGACGCTCTCTCGGTATGGGTCCTAGGAGCAGGCGGAGCAGATAAGAGATAAGATAAGGCGCTCAAGTCAACCGCAATACCGAGGACTGTACCCTGCCATGCCCTGTGCACCTATAGGACGGTGCCAACAGGGCATGATAGGCGAACACGGTAGAGCCTGCCAGACGCATCAGAGGATAAACAGTGTTGTGGGCGCCGTCGTTTGCCGTACCAGGCGAACACGGTAGAGCCTGCCAGACATGTCTAGGCATAAATAGTATTGTGGCGCTGGCTGCCATCCCGTACCTGATGGTGTGAGCAACAAGACTAGGCAACACACATATATACTCTCTCTCTTTCTCTTGGACCTGTAAGGCCATTCCTTTCAACTATAAAAGGGGATGGGCTCTCTCCTGAAAAATGGCTCGCTAGCTCTCGCTCTCGCTCTGGCTGGCTCGCTCTCTCTCTCTCTAGAAGACGTTCTCGACGACTCGAGAACACAACAGCTCTAGAGACACACAGAGCATATGCTCTAATACTTAGTATACGTTAGAGCCCCTGTCACTCTCGGCCACTCGGTTCGGAGTTCGACCGGGCCTCTAACACCCCCATTCTCATTCCTTACTCGTTTGTAACCCCACAACAAACTTTGAGTACATGGGCTCAGGAATAAAGTCACCAACTGATCTCAAGTGGACGTAGGGCCCGTTGCCTGAACCAGTATAAATCCTATGTCATTGAGTGCTAGGCCACATCCGATCACAACGTACGGCAAAACTACAAATATTACTTGTCGGCCACATTTCGCACCGACACATCTATTCCGTAAGAGTTCCAAGGCCGCTCATATCCGTGAGCACGACTGTTATAACAATTTTACACTCTGCAAAGGTTGTACACTTTCACCATGAGCCATGATTTACCCTTTTGCCCGAGACGGCCAACCTCTTGATCCACTTCCAAGGAAGGTCGACAGGGTTCACTATGAAGTCTTTCAAAGATTTATCTAACAAGTTAGGGCCGCTAAGGATTCCCCATCAACCAGTAAGATCCCTCTCCCAAGGTGTGACTAAAAAAAGACAAAGAGACCAAAGTGCACTCCCTTAGCAGGCCGTAGAATCAAACCAATCGGAGCCCCTCTTGCGCCTTTCGATAACCACTAACAAGCTAGAAAAGATCCTCATACTTAACTAAAGCCAGAGTCATATAGAACTCATGGTTGTACTGTAAGTCCCGGTGACCACTTACAGATAAGTCCTTAGGGAGAGGAATCTAGAGCACCACAAAAACTGTACTCTAGCCCCCTTGTTCCTTTGTTGCTAAAAAGCATCTTTTAGTGTTTATTGCATATTTCATTAATCAAGTTACAAGATCATGGTCTTTAGTTGAGCGCTAGCATCATACTACCCATTGCATAAACCCACGGTGTCAAGGTACAAGTACAAAGCTAGAATATCCTTAATAGTAGTCAAGGTAGACACATGCAATATGAATTAAATGGTTAATAGTGAATAAAACAACAAGAATGATCTCATGCTATACTTGCCTTTAAACTCAGATCCTTCTTCAAGTCCAAAAGATTGCTTCTTAATCACCACATAAAGCTCACCGACTAGACATGATCATAAAGCACCACACAAGCATCTACACATACATGCCTAGCATACAAATATAGCTATATTAGAGCAATACACCAATCAGTGAAAATGTTTGAAAATTAATCTACGCATTGCTACGAACATACTGACGCGTAAAGCACGCTAATCAGAGCTACGGTGAAAAAGAAACGACTCACGAAGATTTACTTCATATAAGAGTAAAGGCTATATGCTTGGTTGATTTTATTTTGTTTACAAAACCATGTGAAGGATATTAATTTAGTCAACTTACATTTTATTTGAAAAGTCGAGTTAAAGCTACTGGCTATATTTTATTTGCAAACGTTATTTAAACTTTACTTTGCAAAAGGAATAAACATGTGAGCATCTATTCGAATTTCATATGCGTGTTTAAACTAAGCAAACTTATAATTTAAAAGCATAATACAAGCGTCACGAGTAATTTGAAACGAGGCCAGAAGAA